GGCATCAGGAGCTCCAATTAAGGGATACATTAGAATGGTGGGGTGGAATGGAGGTGCCTAGAATAACGGTGGAGACAAGTTTCTAGGGGTAAAGAGGGCATATAACAGAGCAGGCCTGTACATGCTGCTAGAGTGACCCCACCCCACCCCCGGATACACAGTTTGACCCTCATTCAAGGGTGCACGGTTAAGTAGATGGCTCTGTCCTCAAGACTGAGCATTTTCTCCTAGAGTAGTCCCTCCCTCAAAGTTGAGACCATAATCCTTCCTGAAAGGGACCCATCCCAAGGCCCCCACAGGATGTCTCAGGTTTGCCTTAATCTGTTTGGGCAGGAGGGCCCAGCAGGGCTGGACAGATCTCAGCTTGGGGACGGGTGAGAAAGACACGTCTGTAGTGAGAAGCTCAATCTCCCCCTATTTTGAAGGCACCTGTCTTTCACAACCCTTTTCTTCCACACCCTCCCCCGACTCCCTCTCCACACCCTCTCCCACTCTCAGTCCTTTCTGATGTCGAAATCTGTGCTCCTTCTGCTGAGATTGTTTACTTGGGCCAGCGATAAAATCCTAGGGGAGCTCAAATGTCTTACTCCACGTCTGCAGCTGATACAAGATGCAGCCTGTCCCAGAACTCCTGACCCCCCTGCTGCTGCTGCTCCTGGTGCTCCCAGGACAGCCTCAGGTACAGGGGGAGGGCAGAGGGATCACAGGCATGCAGGGAGAGGGTTCTGGGCTTTAGGATGGCTCTCCTCTTCTCTTTGATCCTTTTCAAGAAGCCCCAGGTTATGGGAGACAGTGAAGGTGGAAAGACCTAGAGACGACAGACGGAAGGAAGATAAGGAAGATGGGATACCCTGCCTGCTCCGATTATCCCTTGTCGGGTATAGGCATAGGGTAAAAGAGGGGAACAAGGATGGACGCAGGAGTGGGAGGAGTCCTGGGTTGTACCTGTGCTCTTTTGTGAAGTCTTGTCCTTCCCAGATGTCTGCCGCCCTCTTCCTGTGCTAAGGATGCGGGAGGTAAGGGAGGCCCACCTGGGAGCTGTTGTAGGCTATGTAACCTCTGCTTCGTTACCCACAAAGGCTAAACTACTGGGCTAGAGTTACAGGCTGAACACATAGCCAGACGAACTACCAGGGCTGTAGAAGCTTTAAGTGTGATTGTTCAGAGAAGGACAGCGGCCACACATCTTAATTTTTGAAAATTATATAAGGAAACCCCAGTTGGTGCTATAAGCTTAACCAACAACTTGAGAAGGGGTCTTTGATCCAATATTGGCTCACCCAGCTTCAAATGGGAGTGGAGGGGGCAGGGTATGGTTCAGTGGTAGAGTGCTCATGTAACATGCATGAGGTCCTGGGTTCAATTCCCAGTACCTCCATTTAAACAAACAAACAAACATAATTACTTCCCCTCCAAAAAATAAATAAATAAAAAATAAATTTTTTTTTAATGAGAGTGGCGATATAGACATAGGGACACATGTAAATACCCTTAGGAATGTAGACACTCACTCAAATGAGCACATGGTTATTACACTTTCACATTCTGCTTCCTGCGTGCTGCGTGCCTGCACTCTTCCCTCAGTTTCTGTGCTTGGGGAGGCCTCCAGGAAGTCACCAGACCCCCTGTGGCGCAGCTCAATCAGAGAGGCTTCTCGTACAAGACGGTGCCCGGGGCTGAGACTCGACACCCAGTCCAGCCTCTGCCCTCGACTGGGTGACCCCACTGCGTGTGGATGGCAGGTGAGCCCAGGATGATTTCTCTTCTGCAAGCAGGTTTATTCCAAATGTGCCCTCCCCTGCCCTAACAAGTTTCCCTGTGGCCCCCGATCAGCTTCCTCTCTCTATTTTAGGTTTCCCCCCAGATAAACAGCCTGGGCCCGACTGATCGCCTCCTAGTGTTCCTCTCATGGGTTAAGGATGGTCCAGACCGCCCTGAGCTACTGCCTGGAATCTCTAACCCTATCATAATCCAAAGCAGTTGTATCCTTAGCCTGGTCTTATCTTAAAAACTAACTCTTCCATTCCTGGCCCTTAGACTCTTAACTTCTTCTCAGAAGTTTAGAGGATAAACTTAATGAAGTTTCAGACTTGGAGTCAAGTAGATCCGAGTTTGAGTCTCAGTCCTGCCACTTAAGCTCAGTGTCCTTGGAGAAATGAATGAACATCTCAGACCCATTCTTAGTTATCTGTAAAATGAGGCTGATTCAATATATGAAAATATCACATGAGATTACATAGAAATGTGTGGACAACATAGCAGGTGCTGATAAATATTGGTTAGATGAAAAAATTGCTAAATGGATCAATGAGTACACAGATGAACCCTTCAGTGAATTGGCAGCCTGGCCAGGGAGGTAGGTACAACTCACAGACAGGGTGTTTAAAGTCAGTACATACCGGAGAGTGATAAAGACCCAGCTGGGCAGGAAGGAGATCCTGGGCAGGAAGGGTGACTCTAGTCACTGAAAAGCCGCAGTGGAAGCTCATCTCAGGAAGATTATTGCCACTGACAACAATGCTCCCTAATTTCTATAGACATTTTGTAGCATATGAAACACATTTACATGTCGTTGCTTTTTTTTTTTACTGGTAACTGTTTTATTATTTATCTTTTATTGAGGTGCAGTTGATTTACAATGCTATGTTAGTTTCAGTTAGTACAGCATAGTGATTCAGCTATACATACATACATATCTTCTTTTTCATATTCTTTTTCATTATAGGGTATTACAAGATATTGAATACAGTTCCTTGTGCCATACAGTAGGACCTTGTTATTTATCTCTTTTATATATAGCAGTTTGTATCTGCTAATTCTGACTCCCAATTTATCCTTCCCCTCTTTTCCCCTTTGGTAACCGTAAGTTTGTTTTCTATGTTTTTGAGTCTGTTTCTGTTTGATAAATACATGGCATTGCTTTTTAAATCCTCTCAAAATCTGTGGGTAAGGCATGACTTACTGGCCAATGTTAAGCAAAGACAATACTTATAAGTCAGGAATAATGTAAAGAACTTTCCAAAGTGACCTCATGAATATAAATCTCCTTATATTCATTGTCCTGCTACAGGACACCTGTGTCTCAAGGGCAGGTGGAAGGTGGTGGAGTCTAGACACAGAAGAGTGTCCATAAAGAAGGGAAAAAAATAGTATCTCACTTTTTCATTGCTTATTCTGAAATGAATACCTTACGCTCGTTGTTTTGCTTGCATTATCTTGGTCAGTCCTGCCCATCAAGGAGATAGATCCTTTTGTTATTCTTTTCACAGAATTTAGTTATGACCTCCAGCAAACTGTGTAACCTTTCTGAGACCCGGTCTCTGCATCTGTGGGAATAAACCTACCTTCCAGTGTTTTCACTATCATCGAACAACGTAAGGCAAGCCCGGTGCCCATTAGGCCTTGTTGCGGTCAGTGTTAATGTTATTACTGTTACTGTTTTCGGTTGTTGTTGCAATTATCTATTGTCATAAAATACTGTAAATAAAAGAGAGATCACTGTTTGATTCCAAAGCCCTCAGTATTAATCAGAACACCAGCCTGCTCATTTTTAAATAGCTTTTGGTTGCCCTGATGATGCTGGCGGGGGGCTTGGTCTAGGGTCTTTGACTACCACCGGCCGCACAAGTCCTGTGATGACCTGGAGCTGCTGAAGAACTATGAGGAGAGGAAGATGGCTATCGTGACAGTGCTGTGGACGAGAACATCATGTACTTGAACCGCTACGGCACAGGTGACGTGGCCAAGGCGGGCCTCTCCTCCAACACCCCAGTGCTGCAGCGCCCACTGCCCGCTGCCGCCTACAACAACCGCTTCTCCTATGCTGGCGTGCCCTGGAAGGACTTGGACTTTGCTGGAGATGAGAAGGGGCTGTGAGTGCTCTACACCGCTGAGGAGACCAAGGGGAACCTGGTTGTGAGTCGTCTCAATGCCAGCACTCTCGAGGCGGAGAAAACCTGGCGCACCAGCCAATACAAGCCAGCCGTGTCAGGAGCCTTCATGGCCTGTGGGGCGCTCTATGCTTTACGCTCACTGAGCACCCGCCAAGAGGAGATCTTCTATGCTTTTGATACCACCACTGGGCAGGAGCACCATCTCAGCATCCTGCTGGGTAAGATGCTGGAAATGCTGCAGGGCACCCATTACTGCCCCTCAGATCACAAGCTCTATGTCTACAGTGGTGGCTACCTGGTTATTTATGACCTCAGCTTCCAGACACTGAAGCACAGCCTGCCAAGACCACCAGCCAAAAGACCCTCTGGGGCTTGGGTACAACCAAAACCTGTCAAACCCCACAAACCTTCCAGGCCCCCAGACTGCAGGACACAGCATTGGTAGAAGTGTGTCCTCCTTCTCCTCCAGATGGGCCACTCCCCAGAATGGCCATCAGCCCTCATGATTGGGAGACATTGATTATGTCCAGTTAGTTCTTCATAATTAATATCAAGGGACCCACACACAGCGCCACAGAGAAACATACATCCCACATAAACAATCTGTTCTTTTATTTATTTATTTTTAATAGTTCCATCCTGAGAACTTTGTCCCCAGTTTCCTGGAAAACTGTCTTATTTTATTTTGTTATGGAGACGAGACTCCCAAAGTACACCTCCTTCCCCAGCTAGTTCAGGCAGAGACTGTAAAGCTTGAGTTGACATCATAATATCCCTTTTCTGAAGAGGGTATGCTTTTGGTGGGTGGGGCAGGGGAGGGGAGACCCTGGGAGGGGCCATCACCACTTAGCCTACCTTCTATCAAGTATGAATCAGTAGCCACGCCAGACCTCAGCTAGGCCACATCTGGAGAACTGGGGTGGGGGTACAACATCGTAAAATACCTGGCCTCAGCCTGGTCACTCATCCCTTTTGGGGCAACAAGGAAACCAGCCTGTGGACCAAGAACACAACACCAGAGACGGAGGCCAGCAGAAGTATTTGTCTGCCCTCACCCCTCTGCCCCTGCTCCTACTTCCACCTGCTCCCCACCTGCCACGAAGGTCCATGCCGCACGTCATCTCTCGAACACCAAGGATGGCCCAGAGCGGGCGTCCTTCATGTCTGCCTGCAGGCAAGAACACCGCTTCGAGTGTCACTCGAGTGATAGTGAAGACACCAGGCAAGCAGGAAGACTTTATGATAACTGATGACACCTCGGTGAGGCAGTTCAAGGAGAAGCTATCGGCTCACTTTAAATGCCAAGTGGACCAACTCGTGCTGGTCTTCATGGGCCGCCTTCTCAAAGACCATGACACACTGAGCCAGAGGGGCATCCTGGATGGCCACACCATCCACTTGGTCATCAAGTCCAAACACAGCTCCAGATCCCTAGCCCATTCCTCACGGAAACCGTCGACTGATGAGCCCTGCCACCAGGACAAAAACACCAAAGGAAACAGCAGTGGGGTACACCAACCTGCCGGTGTGAATCACAGTCCAGTGGAATCAGCTGTATCCGCAGAGCCTGGCGTGCCCAGGGTGCACACTCAGGGCCTGGGAGTGCTCGGTCTGGAGCGCATAGCACAGATACTGGAGAATCCTGGCATCCAGCAGCTTCTGTCTAACACAGACTTCATGAGACGGTTGATCTCAGAACACCCAGACATGCAACAGTTGATGCAGCAGAACCCAGAGGTCTCACACATCTTTGACGATTCTGATGTCCTATGGCAGACTCTGGAGCTGGCCAGGAATCTTGCCATGATTCAGGAGATATTGCAGATCCAGCAACCTGCACAGAATCTTGAACATCCATCGGACCCACAGTCACATGTGGGCTCAGAGACCACCCGAGGTGAAGGCAAGGCCCTGAGTCAGAACTCCGCTGATTTCAATGACCAAATGCTCAGTAGCTCACACGATCCATTTGGGGGC